GACCACGTTGTCTAGGAAACCTGGGGACACACTGAATGCTCCCAGCGGCCCACCTGTTCGTCGAGAGCTAGAAGCAGCATCCATTACAAGGAGAATGAACAAATAGAATTCGGAATGTTCCTATAACGGGGTACTGGGGAACACAGGACGTAGAGCCCTGACATGGACAAATTCCAAAAATGTAACGCTAAGTGAGGAAAAGAGGATTACCTCTTAAAATCCAAAACCAGGCAAAACGAAATAACATTTTGCAGGGGAGAAGCAGCTTGCTCGGAGAGCAGAAAGGAGGACGTCTGAGCCTCCGAGCTTGCAGGTCGGGGGTTTGCTCTTGCTGCAAACACGGGGTAGTGATACCGTCCCAAACCACCGTGCTCTGAGCATGAACAGACCGCTCTTCCTCTGAGAATGAACGCACTTTTAGAAATCTTAATGTGGGGGAGGGGTTTGAAAAATACGGAGTAAGAGAAACTATCTTTTACAAAATTATAAAACGCAAGAACCCGAAGGAAACTTCAGAAGAGCCTGGTGTTCTAACAGGATGCAACAAACAGGACATGGAGGCGGGAGGTTCTGGAGCGCAGGTGCAGGTCGCCAGGCAGATGCCGACAAGGGGACAAGTGCAGTGGGGAGAAGCTGCAGGGAAGCTCCCGCGGCCCCAGGACTGAGGAGTAAGAGGAGCTGGCCTCTCGAGAACCGGACTGGAGGCCTCAGGATGCTACACATACTAACTCATCCTCTTCAGACGTGCAAGAGAGAAACCAGAACTGACATCGCAAGAACCATGAAGTTGTGGTTAAAAAAGGCAAGAGGGTCTCAGTTTGGAGCCAAATTGGGGCAGATTTTGTGGCTGGGGGCCACGGCTCCACCCACGGGGAAGTGGTCCTCACACGCTTGTGTGGAGCCTCTTCTTTGCAAATGACCACCGAAAACATGCCACTTCATTCTGCTCTTCGCTACAAATGAACCCAAATCCTCTCTGGAAAGATGGCCGGGACGCGCCCATGTGCTTGCTGCTTCCTGGCGAGGAGCTGGCCTCATTCTGTGCATCTGACTGCACTGCATCTGGCTGTCTGTCCAGGGACATTTCAGACACATGCCGAAGGCAGACCTCGGCTTCACCACCGATGAACCCGGACAGCGTTCTCATCGGGACCTCCACCTGTCCCCGCTGTCTCTGTCATTTTGAGGCAAATCCCAGACCTCGCATTCCAGGTTTCTAACAAACAGGGACTCTCAAAAAAGCACATCCTCTAAAACAAGTGACAAGTAGTCACCAGTATCCACGTCTACACCAGGTTAAAAGCTGCCAGGCTGCCCACGCGCCCCCTTCCAGGTCGCTTGATTTCCGATCCAGGCAAGCCCCACACCGGGAGCTGCTGACACACTTCTTGGCTTGTTAACCACTAGGTTCCCCTCCATTTCTTTTTCTTAGAAATTGTTTTGAAGAAACCACGTTGTCTGTCTTAAGGAACTTCCGAGTCTGGGTTCTGGTGCTGGGAAGACACAGAGGCACTTTTGAGTGCGTGTCCCCACGTGGAGACAACCGGTCTGGGCCGGCCTGCGGAGCTGCTGCCGGGAGCCCTGGGAAAGGCAACACTGGGGGGACAGAAGGACCTCGGTGGTTGTCGGGGGGCGGCATAGGAGGGAGGGAGGGACAGCACAGTATTTTTAGGGCAGCGAAACTACTCTGGTGGATTCATGACATCATACATTTGTCTGGACCCACAGAACGTACACCACCTCGTTACTCAATGCAAACCATGACTTTGGTTGACTAGGACGGGTCAGTGTGGGCTCATCAACAGTGACAAATACACGACTCTGCTGGGGGTTACGGATAATGGGGAGGCCGTGCATGTGTGGGGGCCGGAAGGCTATGGGAAATCTCCATACCTTCCCAATTCTGCTCAAAAAAAAGTCTATTAAAATAATATGCGTAAGTGGACTAAACAGCATGTTGAAATGTTAATGTGGTTAAATTAGGTGGCAGGATTCTAGCAATTTTTCTTCATCTTTGATTTGTATATGTTAAAGGCCACAATTAGATTAATTTTAAAAAGCAAGGGAAACGATTGTAGTGAAGTGCAGAAAAGGCCATTATGCGATCATGAGCCTCGGGTGGCGTGATGAGTGTGTCTTCTGTTTCCGTTTCGGGACTTGAAAGGTTTTCCACCTGGGTGGTACCTTTGAAAAAGAAAGTTTTACTTAAAAACCAGGCTGCAGCCTTGAACGCGAGCACACACGTGTGCAAACCCAGGCCAGCACGCAGCGGCCAGGCACTGGATGGCTGGGCTTTATGGAGACGTGATTCCCACGCTGCAAAGTGTGCCCTGCGCGTGAGTCCCAGTGTGTCCAGCGTGTACAATCCCCCAGAGCCTCCGCTGCTGCCGCACAGGGACCAGGGGCCCAGGGGTCCCTACCCGGACACGTCCACAGCCGCCTGGCCCTGACTCCATGCCCCCTGCCGGACAGGGCCTGCAGACTGGCTAGGGGCATGGTTGTTCTGAAAACATGAAAAACTCAGGACATGGGATCCACTCATATTCACACAAAGTTTCAACATTCTATTTCCCAAGGAAGAAACAAAAATTCCATTAAATTTCCAGGTTCAGGTTTTTCAGTGTTTGCAAATAAATGGCCTAAATTATTACCTACTTGTACAGAGATTTCTTGTGGATTTGAGGAGTTCTCTCTTCAAATTCCCAATCACGTGTTTCCTTACAGACCTTTTACGGACCGCGGAGCTCTCAGACTTGACGTGCAGGGAAGCAAGTCCGAGTCTCCTGTTAAAGCTTCTTACGGAGATGCACAGAAGACTCAAGACTAGTGTCTCCTGACCAGGCTGCACGGTCAGCGTCACCACCTGCAGCCCCCACTGCCCCTCTGCGGCAGGAGTGAGGGCCTCAAGCCCGACGGCTCTGCCCTGCACACTCCCCAGGGAGGGGCACTGGAGTCTGTTTAAAAGGTAGTTTTTGTGCATTTAGGGCACAGACACATGGTTAACAGTGACAAGAACACCAAAGGCCAGATGACCAGGGGCAGGCCACTGTGTGCACCACAGGCCCCGTTCCTGCCCAGCTGTCCCACAGGGCAGAGCCCCACTGCAGACGGCCATGCCCCACATGGATGCACCTGCTCCCGGGAATGCTGCCGGCCAAGGCAAGTCCCGGCGTCCAGAGGAAACCACCACCCGGCAGAAAATTAAGAAACCTGGGGCTGCTGGAGAATCCTGACCAGCATCATGGCTCCTGGCACGCTCTGTTCCTAGCAGCTGAACTCAAGACACCAGCTTTCTTCGGGACGGCAACTTGTAGACCCACGTGCTTTCCTGCTCAGTTGAGCTTCGTTGGGCCCCCGGTCTTCCCTTGCCAGACCACCTCCTTGTGTTCCCGAGGCCTTGGCCTTTCTTTCCTGCTAACACTGGTCCGGGTCTTTTCTTCAAATTCAACCACTCTCATTTTCCCAATGCTTATTGGGGCACTCGGGACACCGGGGCATCTGAGCACTGAGGAGTGGTCTCCCCGTCTCCCTCCGGGACCCACAGGAAAGGGCCCAACCAGCTGAGATGGACACAGCTTCTGTCCCCACCCTCCTGGGTGTGCAGAGCCCCCACAATGTCGTCCAGATGTGACAGCAACCAGCAGCCCAGGATCAGCCCGCCTTAGTTCAAACGCTTTTTACTGACAGCGAGCAATGCTGCAAGATATGGAATTAGCACTGAGGCCTTTTAGAAACGTGGCCTGAGGCATTTAAGGAGGAAATCTCCAGCTTCTTCCAATTCACAGCTGTGCTGGCTCCATTTCTGTGCTAACAGAGCGAGCGTCAGGGTCCTCCCCTTCTGAGCCCAGCTCCTGGAGACTTCTGTTATTGCTGCTGTAGAGCAGCAAATCTACGTAGCTACACTTACCTTCTGGAAAAGAACAAGGCAAGGGTGGTGCTTTGATTGTTGGACATCTGCCTGCCCACCCACCCACCCCCACCTTCTCCCTCCCTGCCTGTCATCGGAAGTACGGATGGGATCTGAGCATCATGCCCCATTGTGTGAAGACCTACCGAGTACAACCAGGAGAGAAACAGCCCAAATTCCTGGAGGAGGATTTAGGTTCTTGATGATGCCTGAGTATCCAGTGAAAACCTAGAACCAGCCATACCTGAAGCTCCATCCATTGCTTCTCAGACAAGTGAGTAACACAGCAAGATAACCCCAGGGGAGCCGTGATTCTGTTACTTGCACTCAAAGAACATGCATAGCACACAGCCTTAACCTAACACATTACCTCTAATTCAGTAAGTAGTCTGGAAAACGGGGAGGAGAAAAGACTTGTGGGGCTACAGATCTACACTGAAAAAGGTATGCTAAACCAACGATGTCTTTAAGTAACACCTCAAACTGTTCTAGAGGCTCACAAACACATCCTGGGTCACCCACAACCCAAAGCCCAGCCGCCACCAACAGGAAGGGGCCGTCTCAGAGGGGCCATCAAGATGAATTTACCCATGGATGGCATGGACCAAGGGTTGCGCCCAGAGATCTCTGGACAAGGGAACTCGGAAACAGAGGCCCCTGGCCTCTCTACCAGCTCTCACCGGAGCTGCACGAACGCAAGGGGCCTGTGGGTCAGACCCGGGACCCCAGCGACAGGGACGATGCACGATCAAGCTGTCTGGGGGACAAGTTGTGTGATGAACCTTGTTCTCCAGCTTGTCAGCCAGGATCAGAGCTGCCTTGTTTTCTGGGGTATCTTGGATCCAATGCTCATCACCTGATAGCCACAAGTAACAGTGATCCTCTGCGTTCTTAATGCTTTGGTACAAGCTTCTGAGAAGCTCTCCACAAGTAATAAAAAGCCCAACCTCCACGGAACGGCCTAGAAGAGGAAGTTAGGTCTGTTTGCCCGGCGATGGGCCCGGAGCGCAGTGTTCTCTGGCCCACAGGCTGCTGGGCAGGCAGGGCACTCGGGGCGGGGGCTGCTCCTGCCATAGCACACCATGGAACGGGCTTACAAAAAGGAGTTTTATTAAATGAAAGAGAAATCTGCTCGGTGGGTCAAATGCGAAATAGATATACAAAAACTTTACATCTGTGTCCTGGAGGAGAGCCCCGCACGCCCGCCCGCTGCCCGGCCCCCATCGGGCTGCCCCGGCTGCTGCCCCGCGTCCTGCACGCCCGCTCCGAACAGGCTGCGCAGGGCGCAGCAACATCTTTGGCACTCCGCCTCCCGGGACACTGTCCCTTAGAAAAGTAGACTTTCCGTAGTAAAACCTCTAAAAACACCTATTTCTGCAAAATTATGTGTTTCTGTATGTGGAGCTCTGCAAATATACACGTCTTTCTGGAAAAAAGGAAACATCCGAGGGCCCGCGTGGCCTGGAGCCCTCCGGGGACAGAGCGCCAAGTGCACGTCGGCCCTGCGCCCTGCAGGTCACATGAGGTCGTTGAGCTCCGCCTCGAGCGCTGCGGCCATCTCGTCCGCCTCCGAGCTGCTGCCCTCCTCGTCCTCCCCGCTCGACTCCCCGCTGGACGCGCTGCCGGCGTCCTCCTCGGGCAGCTTCCGCTTGTGGCCCCTGCGAGACAGATGCAGACCGTGAGACGCACGCGCCGGGAGCGGGCACGCACGGGCACCAGCACCAGCCTCCACGCGCCCCTGCACGCACACACGTGCCTGCATCGCAGGCTGCAAGCACCCAGGGGCACGCACACGCGCAGTGCATCCCTGTCCTTTGCCAAACGCCACTGCAAGATGCTGTCCTCGTTTCAGCGCGAGAACCAGTCGGAGCCGATGGTCAGAGACCGCAGGGCCAGCTGACCCCGGAGCACGGCACTCGCTCTGTCTACGCCCCGTGCCACCAGGCCCCGCATTCAGAAGCGGCCTCGCAGCGACAGTCGGTTGGTTGTACACGAGGGCGTCACGGGCAGGTGACAGAACACCTATCACCCTAGAGGACACGGGGAGAGGACAAGGGCTGGATGCCATGAGCGCGGAAGGTGTGACTGAGGACCGATGGGGGACCGGAGGGCACGCTCCTGCCTTCTTCCTGGAGCTCCAAGAACCACCGGACATGAACCAACATGCAGAGCGCCAACAGAGAGCCTGGTCTGTCAGAGGAACTGCTGTGCCACCTCAATATGAGGAAGCCAAGGCACATCCCAAGTGATCACACGGGGCCAGGGCACGGTCCACTGCCTCCAAACTCCCCTTTCCCGAGGCGGCATCAACACAAATTACCCTGATCACAGGCTGAAGCGCATGAGAAGTCTTTGTTTGGCAAAGTCACAAACATGAGATCGGAAGACTATCTGCAAGACTAAGACACATGTGACCTAAGACCTATAAGACAGAATAAGCTTTACAAACTGGTAAGACAATAAATAACCTGTGAGAAACACTCCCAAATCAGAAAACAGCAAATGACAGAAGAATAAACTCAAAATGGACGGAAACCCTGAAAAGGACGAAGGAAATACAAGTAAGGCATCCGTGTGACGGCTCAGGCTGGCGACAGTGAGTGTGAGGGGCTCAGCTTCCGTGGCCGTGGTGCAGGGCTACATGGCAGGTGCCAGGTGTCCATCTGCAGGACTGGAACCCCTGGTCGGGCCCAAACCAGGCACACGTGCAGCCTGAGGACACACTGTCAGGTAACTCAGCAAAGGCTTAATTTTGGATTTGCAAGATATCCTGAAACAAAAGATTTTTTAAAGAGGATTTTATTGATTTTAGAGTGTGCACGTGCACGTGCAAGCCAGGGGGAGGGAGAGGGACAAGCCAACTCCGCGTGGAGCCTGAACCAGGGCTCGATCCCACGGCCCCGAGATCACGACGTGAGCCGAAATCAAGAGTCAGTTGCCCAAGCACCCCAAAACAAAAGCTGTTTTTAAGCACAGTTACTAGGAGGCCACTCAGATGACTGTCCATTTGTTGAGTGGTGAAGAAGCTGTATTTAGAAATGACACACAGACACAACAGTTAATCTGCTTACGTAAAAACGACAAGTGCCCATCTAATTACCGTAAGAGGGTGTTTTTATTGTTCATACTACTGATAACAACCCCAATAAAAACAGCGTCCCGTGGGGCACTGCCCAGGAAAGTGTGTGTGGGCCCCAGGCCCCCAGACCTACAGTGTAGGAACACGGCTTAGCTGCTGCTGAGTGGCAGAGGTTTATCAAAAATGCCAGTGATTTTGAGAAAACCTGGGAAAACACTGGCTGTACCCTGTCCTCTGGGCACCCTGTCCTCTGGGCACCCTGTCCGCCGGCGCCCCACCCGGCCTCAGGCCTGTAGCTGAAGTGCACGCAGGGGGAACGTGAAGGCTCGCACTGCGTGCACACACTGTCAAAGCCGTTCTGGGGTGCCCTCTGGTTTGCACAGTGGCCCGGTGTCCGGAAGTGACAAACACCACCAACCTCCCTTGCCTCCTCCTACAAATGGTCTGCTCTTCTTGGAGAGCCCGGCCCCCATCCAGATTCCCTTTCATCCCTGTGAGAGCCGGAGGCAAAAAAGCAAAGACAGACAGTTCCTGTGGTCGGGGACGAAGGCCCCCAAGTCCAGGAAAAAGCCAAACCCACTGCTGTGAGGACACGGATCGGGAACCTGCGGAAGCGCCTCGGACAACCCCCCAGGCAGAGGCAGGGGGTGCGTGCTGGTGGGGACCTGGGGTAGCAGAGATAGAGGTCAGGGGACAGCAGGGACCCTCGAGGGCAGGACCAGGCCAGGGGAAAGCTACAGACTGCTCGAAGAGTTATCTTTTAAAACAGTCATCTTACAACGATGATTATTTGTGATAAAATCTTTTGTGAAAACCTTTTTTTTTTTAAAGATTTTATTTGAGAGTGAGACAGCGAGAGAGAGAGAGAGAGAGAGAGAAAGAGAGCGCACGCGTATAAGCAGGGGGAGGGGCAGGGGAAGAGGGAGAAGCAGGCTCCCCGCAGAGCAGGGAGCCCGATGCGGGGCTTGATCCCAGGACCCTGGGACCATGACCTGAGCTGAAGGCAGACGCTTCTCGGACTAACTGAGCCCCCAAGGTGTCCCTTGTGAACCTTTCACCTGCACTTAGGAGAACGTCTAGGGCAGAGGCGCCCAGTCCTGTTGCTTGTGTATGGCCCACACCTGGGTAGGGCTCGCTGCACAAATGCCCTTTGTATTCCCAGACAACAGGTGATAATGCTGTTCTGGGTCCTGGCTGCACGGGGCGAGGTGTCTTGTAAGCTTCATAAAAAGCCCATGGGGGGG